AAGGCTGCTGCAGTCTCTACTGACAGCCCTCCCAAGTATCTTTTCTGTCTCTTGTTTTTTCTTTCAATCCTCACTCCCCCTTTCAGGTACTTTCCGTCTTGGCTGGCTGGCACTGGCATTCTTGTTGATCCTGGAGCAAGGGAACTGCCTAAAACTCCCCACTATAGCCCCGAGGACTTAGCCTGGATACACACTCTCCCTATGACTCAATGCCTAGAGGGCTGGTGGAGGACAATGGCAGGGAAAGTTATCCTACCTCAGAATTTAGGCATAAGATTGCTCAAGAAAATACATCAAGCATCACACATGGGCACCCAAAGGATGCAAGACTTACTAAGAAGAGCCAAAGTTAAACTTCAGGAAAGAAATCAAGCCATTAAAAAAATTGTTAGGCATTGTCATGCTTACCAGTTAACCAACTCAGCTCCATCCCATGCTAACCCAGGATCCCGGAGCAGAGGGACACTAATGGGTATGTATTGGGAGACTGATTTCACTGAGATGAAACAGGAAAAATTTGGATATAAATATTTACTAGTATTCATAGACACCTTCTCTGGATGGACTGAGGCCTACCCAACCAAGCATGAGACTGCTTATGTGGTAGCCAAGAAGCTAATCGAAGAGATCCTGCCCAGGTATGGTTTCTCAACTACAATCGGATCAGATAATGGGCCAGCCTTTGTCTGTCAGGTAAGCCAGGGAATAGCCACTGCACTGGGGACCAATTGGAAACTACATTGTGCTTATAGACCCCAGAGTTCAGGACAGGTAGAAAGAATGAATAGAACTCTAAAAGAGACCTTAACCAAATTAGCTTTAGAGACTGGTGCAGACTGGGTGGCTCTCCTCCCCTTGGCCCTTTTAGAGTAAGAAACACTCCATACCAGATGGGTTTGACCCCCTTTGAAATCATGTATGGAAACCCCCCTCCTATGATACCTAGTCTCCAAGCTGACCTGGTATTGACCTTAGGAGACCAGGACCTGCTGGACTCACTCCAACGGTTGCAGCTAACCCACCAACGGGTCTGGCCGCAACTCACAGCCATATATGAAGCTGCTCTTCCCCCGCAACCCCACAAGTTTAAACCAGGCAACTGTATCTGCAGACAGCAACGGAAAAATCTCGAGCCAAGATGGAAGGGCCCCTTTGTGATCCTCTTGATGACTCCCACCGCACTCAAAGTGGACGGCGTCGCAGCTTGGGTGCACTACTCCCACACAAAACCTGCCGACCCGTTTGCAGTCCCAGAGGATTACAAGGGAGACACCTGGAAGGCATCCCCACACCCTTTGAATCCATTCAAGCTCCGCATCTGATGGGACCCTTCCTGCTAACCTGTCTATTGTTGTAATTGAACTGCTGATCGACTGATGGTACCTTTCCTACAAGTAACATAAATCCCCATATGCCCCTTAGCATGATCTCCCCAGATACCTGTGAGCTGGCCAATCAGAACCCATGATTGGGTTCCCCAGTTACAAGACAAGGGGGGAATGTAGGACCCTGAGACCCTCTTCATTCACCCGCTACCCCCAATCCCTCCAGACCCCCACTAATTGCTCTTTTAGCTTCTGTAAAATGCTTGGCTGCTGCTTTAGACATGCCTAGACATGCCCTGGCATGCCCTGACCCCTGCCTGCTATTCCCCCCTCCCCTTCCAGGAAACTATAGATTAAGCAAGCCCGGGCATGAAAACTGCCCTATAAGGTAAAAACGGAGACTCCAGTCCCCATAGATAACAGTCAACATATTCCACAGCCCTGAGAATAGCACCTACCAATAAGAAACTTCCAGGGCTGCATCTTATACATCCAATCAGTTTAAAATTATGTTGGCACGCATCGGCTCCTTGAACCAACCAAAATGTATCTTCGGTCCCCCACCCTTTGTCTAAAACCTATAAAAGGCTCCACTCTCCCTTACTCTGGGCTCTCAGCACAGATCCGTTGAGTTGGTGAGGTCTGAGAGCCTGAGTTTAAGCCCGAATAAACCATAAACCTTTGCTTTTGCATTTTGGCGTGTTGGGTCCTCGGTGGTCTTTTTGGGGTCCAGTGGACGAGGTACAACAGTATGTGTAGTGCTCAGCTTGCTTTCCACATCTTACAGAGTCCAGGATCTCCTGTCCAGGGAATGGCTACACTCACAATTGAGATGGGTCTTCTTGCATCAATTAATGTAATCAATATAACTCCTAGAAGCCAGTCTCCAGGAGATTTGAGAATCTGTCACGTTGACAACACTAACCACTTGGTCAACCTCATATTTGTTTCCAGGTTTAAAATTTTTTTCTATGAGACTCTCTACGAGGTCCAGGCTGGCTTTGAACTTGAAACTCTATGGCCTCAGCCTCAGTGTTGGGATTATAGGCGTCCACCACTGCATTCCATATGGCACAGTAGATTTTTAAAGGTGATATATTTCTTGCTTTTGTATTTTGGCTTCATTAGATAATGGGAATAACAGAAACAGTAGCACCTAAGTAGCATCAGAGGACTTTACTTTTCCATTGGAATCTGAGTCATCTTTAAAAGTGATTGTATTTTCTAAGGAGAAGCTGTGAATTTCAATACTTGCCCCTCTACTTCCAAAGCTCACAGAAATGAACCACCAAATTCATGGTCTGATAAAAGACTAAGTACTTGGTTAAGAAAAAGTAATATTCTTGGCAGAACACTAGGAAAGAGCTGCAAAGGGGGCTCTAGGGTAAGCAGGATGGGTGAGTGCATAAACTGTAGAATAAACCTTATTCTGGGAGAACTTGGAAAAATTTCCTCTTGACCATGTTCATGTGAACAAACGGAACATGGCTGACATCCTTTAGCAGTGGAAGGTTGAACCAACATCAACTATTTTTTTCTTGAGCATAATAATTACTACCCTAAGGACCGGCATTTTCACATTTCAAGAAACCACAGAATTCTCTGGAGCTTCACCCACCCAATCAGAAGCATCACGGGGCGGTGGGCTGCCTGAGTGACCTACATAGGCTCTGCCATCCCAAGACTGCAAGAGATCAGGCCTCCTTACAAAACTATTTCCTTCTCCAGGTTGAGCGGCCGTGCCAGGCTCCTGCAGTCCGCGGCAGGCAGCGGGCACCGGTCCCTCCGGCTCACCCTTTCACCCCTCCTTCACCCGGGAGCACCTCGCCGGGTGGCGTGGTTTTTCTGACCACTAGGGAAGCTGTGCAGGCGAGGCCAGGAATGACAGGGCCTCCTGGCTTTGGTGAGTCCCAGCATCCGCGTCCTCCCGGCCGCTTTGCTGAGGCTCTAGTGGGTTCGAAAGAGGAAGGGGCTGGTGCATAGCAAGACTCGCCGAACAGACACAGCCAGGCTCCAGGGAGGCCTGAACTTGCCTGGGACCTCCCCGGGTTCCCACCCCCCGCCTCCGGCCCGGGAGACGCCCAGTGGCTGAGCCAGCCCCGGCCACGCAGAGCTAGAGCGCTCCGCAGCGGAGGCCGCGCGGTCCAGCCGCCCAGGGCATCCCCGAAGCAGGGGGCGGAGGCGAGGGCCGCCGCAGGAAGGGTCCGCGGGGCGGGAGCTCCTCTCCGCCCCTCGACTTCGGCCGCTGGGCTCCCGGACCCGCTCGGTCAGTGGCACGGGCGGAGGGGGGTGGCTAGCGAGCAGGGGGCGGGGTCGCGCGCTGATTGGTGTGCGCTCGTGGGCGGGGAGCCGGGGCGGGCCTAGAGGCGGGCCGGCACAGCGCTGGAGCTGTGGGCTCACGGAGAGGAGTAGCGAGCAGCTGGAACGGAGTTGGAGGAAGCAGCGGTCGCGGCGAGGGTGGTGGACCAGCTACTCGGAGACTCCGAGCCGGGACAGCCAGGGGCCGGCGGGTCGTAGCTGGATCGCAGGCGCGTCGGAGCGGTGCGCTCAGGAAGCCGCTGAAGCACAGGCCGGGCAGAGGAAGGAAGCCGGCCGCCGGGGAGGTAGGGCTGGTGTGTGCCCGGGAGGGGGAGGCGCTGCATGCGTGCGCGGCCGCTCTTCCTGTCACCAGCAGCAGCTTCTGCGGAGCCGCGCCGAGGGGAAGCGGCCGGACCACCGGCTCCCCGCTGCCAGCGTCCTCCGGCTGCGGACAAGCCTTCCCGGCCGGTGGCCAGCGCCTGCGTGCTTGTGGCCACCTCCTGATCGTGTTTCCTCGGCGCTGCCCAAAGCCGGCTCTGCACGCCGCCCGGCGCGTTCGGCCCGGAGCTGCCAAGCGACCCCGGGCTCCCCTCGGTCCCCGCACGCTTCCGAGGGTCCCCTGTCGCCCTGCAGCTTCCTGGAGCCCTGAACGGGAAGAGGGCGCCCTGATCGCCGTCTTTGCGTTAGCGCTCCGCTCCCTCGTGGCCCCCCAGCTGCAGCCCGGGTCGCGGCCCGGCCTTCCCCGGGGTCCCCGGAGCTCTCCCCCTAAACCCTGGCGAGCGAACTTTGCCGCCCTCCTCTTCCGGGATGGGGGAAGTGCGCCTTGGGGCGGTTGGTCTCTGGGGCCCTAATTCGGTGTCTGGTGCCCGCCGGGCATGGGCAGGTTTCAGGAGGCATAATCAGTGGGGTGCCTGGTACCGCCCGGAAATCCAGCTTTTCCTAAAGCGGGGCGACCCTGGAGGGACCTGCCCAGCAATATGGAGCCGGCTGGGAAGAGCAAAGGAGCGTGCAAGCCGGAGTTAATATATTGAGGGGAATTGTCTGCCAGCCGGGGCTCTAACACTTCCTTCCCAAAGACAGAAACTGCCCCGCAGATCACGAGACAAAGAGACTAGAAAAGCTCTGGCCAGGCACGCGTGTACAGAAATGTATTTTGGTAACTCGCATTCGCGCACAATAATGCAAGGGTGTGAACGGAGTGGCTGTTGCATGTTGAATGCTGGGTGCAGGCACTGGATTCGGGGGAATTCTGCTCCCGGCGAGGCTAATACCGGAAAGCTCTCACTTCCACCGTTAATTCCTCCCGGAGGAGCTACGGGCCCTGCCTTTGTGCTGGAGTGAGTTTATGCTTTATTTAGGGGTTTCGTGATTTTAGGGCTTTTAGAGTCGCCCCCCCCCCCATCTTTTCCTCTTCTTCTCCTCTTTGTCAGACAGCGTGAAGGAGGAATGGATAAAGCAGTTCCGGGTTTTGAATGCAGCATGAGGTTGTCATTTCAATGTGAGTTTCGAGTTTTTGGTGTTAGGGGGATATTCACAAAGCTGATGGGGTCAGGTTTCATGTGGAAGCATATTTTAATATTTCATTGGCTTAGGGTTCTTTTTTGCCACCTTAAAGTGGTAATTTATGAACTTGGGGTGGTAGATGGGTTTATTTCTGCCACAGATTAACAGATTAATAGATTTCCAAAGTATAAATCATGAGGCATGTGGGGACTTCAGCACAGGTGAGGCATACAAGCATCGTTTATCACTGAACAAGGGAAAAGCACCTCACTGAGCTGTAACTTTTTTTTGGCAATTACATTGTTCTTGAAATAAACCCTTAACACTGAGTAGTTTTCTTAAGTACAAAAGTTTAAGTAACTTTTATGAGACAAAGTTATGCCTGATCCCCCCGCCTTCATTGCAAACTCAAGTTTAAATCGGAAAGGCCAGTGGGGGAGGCTCCCCCCTGCTTTGCAGAAGTACTGGACAGTGTTACTGCTGGCCTTCCGTTTTATGTGCCTGTTGCAGGTCACGCCACTTTTCCATAGCAATCTATCGATTTTTATGATTTGAAGAAAGTTACATTAGCTGATACTGGCTTTCAGACTGTCATGCGAGTTTACTTTTAACTTTCCTCTTGAGTTGGGACCTGTTCTTAGTTGCATAACAGAACTCTGCAGTGTGCACACTGTTATCTGCCCTCTTATCTGCTTCTTGGTTTATGATAGCACTGTGCCTTTTCACATCTGTCATGCTGTATAGTCATGTAAAAAAGCATTTTACTGCCCACTGATTGAGTATGTTGTTTTTTTTAAGTATTTCTTGACTTTGATACATTTACAGGATAAAGCTGGTCTGGGGAAACTGTTGTAGACTAAGTTACAGGAATAAGTATTTTTGGCTGCTGATGGTGATATGCCTGATCTTTGAAATTTTGGTGGGATTGCTTTTTTTTTTTAATTCTTAATAGTTTTTATTAATTGTACAGAACAATGTTTTTCTTTGGGGGCCTTTTCATGTACTGTGTTTTGATTGTATTCACATCCCCCATTACCCTTCCTTGTCTCCCCTCCCCTCTCAGGTTAGTCTCTGAAAAGGCTTTGAGTCTTAAGTGCAAACCTATTCATCTTATCTGTTGGCTATTCCCTTAAACTTTTCTCGTGAATGCCATGTAACTTTTAGGTTGGAATTTGATTAATTTTTTTTTTCTTTCTCCTAGGTGGTTCAGCAGAACGTTGTAAAAGGCATTCATTTTGAAAAATTGTCCACATAGTTGTTAAAACAGAACTAGTTCTAGCCCAGCTTTTATTGTGTTTGCATTTTCTGGTTTGCAAAATGTGTTTTATTGAATAAAGAGATAGTGAATGAGCCAACTGAAAATAAAAAGGTTTATGCAAGCAAGCTGAGATAATGTTTGCATGTGAGTTTTTTCTTTTAATTCTCTGACGATTGAGGTATATACATATAGAGGACATCAGCAGCACTTTTGTCTTAGTATATTACATCTATCAGACAGGCAGAGCACAGGACTCTGTACAGTGCAGGACTTTGCCAACAAAGACAGGAAATGAAGCATCTTGGTGAAGCTCTGAAAACTAGGATATTACCTATCACTGAGAGGGATAATCAGGTGCGTGCATGGGTAAGTGCACACATGTGCATGTTTTATTTTGGAGAGTGTCTCCTGTTGTCCAGGCTGGCCTTTAACTCTCAGTGTAGCCCAACTTGACCTTGAACTTCTAAACATCTAGGTGCCTCTTCCCATGTTATGGGATTATAGGCATGTACCAACACTCCCAACTTTCAATTTAGTTTTTACTTTAGAAGACAGTATAATTGTTATCATGATTTTTTTATTAAGACATAGGTTGTGATTAATTTTTTAAACATTCATATTATTCATTGCATTTTTTTCTAGCCTCATTCTCCTCTAATGTTATTACTCGCTGTAGTTTTGCCAACACTATTGAAATCACTTGCCTAAAGGAGCAGAATTAAAAGCCATTTTTTGTACACTAAGCCAAATGAACTGAAACACGGACTGTGGAATGACTTATGAACTTGTCTGTTCGGCTTATGCTAGGTCTCCTCCAACCCCACACTTTTTTTGGGGGGAGGGGGTGAAAGGTGGAATGAGTATAGTACAAATATTACTGAAGGGAAAAAAAAATCTGTAAAAACATCACTGGAGATCTTGTTCTGCCACCATTGTTTTCCCTAAAGTAAATCAAATATATACCCACAAGCACCTGTAGTCAAAATAGTTCTCAGGTTAATGATCACCTGGGAGGGTGTCGAAGTCATAGGAGCCTGGCCAAAGGGTCAGGAGGTTCCACCAGTGGAAGTCTGTGGAGGTGAGATGGCTGTAGAGGTGAGATGACTGGCCATTGGATCAGCCTTTGCCCCTTGCCTTCCTCCTGGAACTTCTCTGTGGTCCTGAGAACTGGGCTTGTGTCCCATGAGGACCTAGCTGCCTTCATTCTCTGGGGCATTGCTTTGTTGTACTCCTTTTTTCCTCTTTGAGGACAGGCCAGGGAGCAGCCAGGAAACCCAGTTAGGCATCAGTGTTGTCCCCAGACTCCCATCTTCTGCCCTGCCACCAAGCACACTCATGTCCCCCTACCATATAACACACCCCCAGCCCCTCCCAGGTCCCCTTTGCCTTGACCTCTTCCTAGCCACCTTCCACCTTGGGTCTGGAGAGTAAACTAGTTGGGCAAAGTCCACAGGCAGGCTTTATCGGTCTATCTATTTACAGCAGAGTTTTATTTTAGGTAGCTTCAGGCTTCTTTTAGAACTGCTTGTAGGATTGAGAGGCAGTGCAAGAGAAAATTCCTGGCACCTGTCTCTGTTTTAAATCTACATTGTGTAAATGGCAGTGACATTTAATGCTGATATTCCTAGTATCCCTAATGCTGTAACTGCAGTTGACTGTCACTTCAGGCATGTCATTTAACTTTGCTTGGTTTTCTCACCTGCAGAATGGGACTGTTAATTATGGTGAGAGTGGTTATAGGATACACGTAAAACTCCGAGAACTGCCTGGTGCGCAGTGAGCTCCGAGTTGGTGTTAATTATATTAAGCTCTTACTGAGAAGCATGGAGCTATGTGCTTGTGAGTGTAATTGCCTTTAATCCTCATAATGACCTAGGGAAGTATAGGTCTGCTTCTTGCATCTGCCTCACAGGCGATAAAATGATGACACAAAGAGGTTTAAGTGACTTGCCCATAGTTATATACTTGGCATCGATAGGAGCAGTTGCCACTAGCTGCAGCTCAGAAGTCACCCTTCCTGCCCCAAATTTTAAGGACTACCATTGTCTTTTGACAGAAAGAAATATTGTAGGTCAGCTCCCTCAGTGCTGTCCCCTCCATCCCCCGTGGCCACCCTCTCCATCCCTCTCTTCCGTAGTGATGCAGGAGAATAGACATTGGCCTCATAGCCTCTCCTGGGTAGGGGGATCTCTTCCTTAATCCTGTAAGTGCATGATCCTTTCTCCTAGCCCTCTCTCTCTGATGACCCCTTCGTGTGTAAGGGTTGCTATGGATGGGCAACTCTCCTCTGCTTTTCTTGTGCTGCTCTGGGGCACCCAATGCTGTACTGCTTGGTGAAGAGTTCTCTCTCCTTACTGTGTCACATGGGTGTGTGCTGTCTGCCCCTAAAGGGCTTGCAGGCAGGAATTACAGCCTCCACACCCAACTTAGCCACATTAACTACCCAGCCCAGAGTGTGACAGCCAGCAGCACATTCTGCTTAGCTGGTTGGCTTGGGAATGGATTGTGGTATTTGATTCCTGTAGCGTTGTGCTTGAGTTGACC